GAATATTGCTAAAGGGTTGTTTAAATCTAAACTCAGTCAGTCAGTCAGAGGGTTGATTGTTCTCCAGTGGTAGAGGGTTGTTTATTCTCCAGTGGTAGAGGGTTGTTTGTTCTCCAGTGGTAGAGGGGTTGTTGGTTCTGGTAGAGGGTTGTTTGTTCTCCAGTGGTAGTGGTAGAGGGTTGTTTGTTCTCCAGTGGTAGAGAGGGTTGTTTGTTCTCCAGTGGTAGAGAGTTGTTGGTTCTCCAGTGGTAGAGGGTTGTTTGTTCTCCAGTGGTAGAGAGTTGTTTGTTCTCCAGTGGTAGAGGGTTGTTTGTTCTCCAGTGGTAGAGGGTTGTTTGTTCTCCAGTGGTAGAGGGTTGTTTGTTCTCCAGTGGTAGAGAGTTGTTTGTTCTCCAGTGTTAGAGGGTTGTTTATTCTCTAGTGTTTCTGCATTTGTGTTATCTCCTCTGACAAAGACCGGGGTGTATATAGCCGAAGCTCAATGATCCCAGCCCTGGTGTCTAAAATATTGTTCTAAGATATGAATAAGGCCACCATTATTTCTTCATAATTTCGGACATCAAGGTAAATTATGTAGTTTGAAGTAATCATTAATACTAATTTTCGAAATGACAGGTTGCTTAATATGACAACTTTGGTCACATGGTGGCAGTCATGTTGTATACACATGGTCTTTATGTTGGCTTGTCACTTCTAACAAATACTGTGTCACATTTCTTTACGTCTACCTAAACCTTACAATATCCAGTTGAGACCAATAGTTTGATTTACCCATTGTGAATAATGTCATACAGAAATTGCCAAATAGAGGATAAAACCGGGTAAAGAATTGTGCCACATTGTACTGGTATTTAGGACGACGTGTGTATAGGACTGCCCATCGAGGTCAGCAGTGGTGTTATGCAAATAGTGCCTAGCTGAGAATACTGACTGCTTCCTCCATGTATTTGTATCATCTTGATGCTGTGTAGAAGTAACACTCAGATGGATCTCAGAAATCTTACTGGGCTTCTGGCGGAGTCATTATGTTGTGTACATGGTTGCATGTTTTTCATACAGAAGACACTAGTCAAATTTGTGATTCAATAGTGGAACGAAATGATATTACGCCCCCTTTTGTTATCCCCCTCAACGCGTTTTGCGGGGGGTATTAAAATGGACTCCATACGTCGTCCGTCCGTCCGTCCGTGCACATTTGTCTTTTCTGGAGCAGAACTCTAAAACCGTTCAATATATCTTCACCAAACTTGGCACATACATGGATCTGGTGGTGTACTGGTGCCTTGTGGTAGTTTTGGAATTCTGAATAAAATATTTTTGGCGTTTCCATGGCAAAAAGTTCGACTTAGACTGAAATTGGTGGTAGTGCTCTTTTCCGGAGCAGAACTCTCAAACCGTTCAATATGTCTTCTCAAAAAGTTGAGACATAGATAGATCTGGTGGTGTACTGGTGCCTTTTGGTAGTTTTGGAATTCTGAATAAAATATTTTTGGCGTTTCCATGGCAACAAGTTTGACTTAGCCTGAAATTGTGGTAGTGCTCTTTTCCGGAGCAGAACTCTAAAACTGTTCACTATTTCTTCACCAAACTTGGCACATAGATAGATCTGGTGGTGGAGGGTGCCTTTTGGTAGTTTTGGAATTCTGTATAAGATTTTTTGGCGTTTCCATGGCAACAAGTTTGACTTAGACTGAAATTGGTGGTTGTGCTCTTTTCCGGAGCAGAACTCTAAAACCGTTCAATGTTTCTTCACCAAACTTGGCACATAGCTAGATCTGGTGGTGTACTGGTGCCTTTTGGTACTTTTGGAATTCTGAATAAAATAGTTTTGGCATTTCCATGGCAACAAGTTTGACTTAGCCTGAAATTGTGGTAGTGCTCCTTTCTGGAGCAGAACTTTAAAAACCTTTCAATACTCTCCTTCCACTTTTCTATATACACACCTAAATATTTGACATAATCATAACTCGTAGACATAATCATGAAGAGTATTTTGCCATGGGGGATATTGATGACTTTGTCTTCTTGTTATACAGAATTTAACCACCACATCAAACAAAACAAAGTTGACAAAAGATTCATGTCGAGAACTTAATTAACTTAATGTCTGAGTATTGAAAATAGAATGCTTACGAATAAAATCATTTTTAATCCGTATTTTGCTGACATTGCAAATATCATAAGTTCAACACCAAAGTCAATCATTAAATGTGAGTGGTCAATAGATCAGCCTCCTCCTTGATGAGGATGTCACTGGTATTCTGGTGTCATTGTTGCCATGGTTGCCATGGTTACAGGGAGCAACTGGCACATGGTGAACCTTTTTGTTCTCAAAACGGAACATGGCTCTTTTCAGCAAAGTTTTTGTCAACCATCTGTTCACTGTGCTCAGCGAGGTAGTTTGATGATGTCACTTGTTCAATATGTATGGTTTTGTAAAATATAACTGTCTGATATGACATGTGATGGATTTAACCGTGGGGATTACAGCCTGTACCCTATTTCACAGTTTAGCAGTTTCGACAAAACGACTGTAGTAATTTTCCACAAGAAGATAATGACTTTCATCTTCCTGAAATAGATCTATTGCCACAACTTAATGGTGGTCGGTCACAACCACAATCTGTTGACAAATAAGGTAATGTTGGAACTTTTCAGATCCAAATACTATGTCCATCATCTCTTTCTGGATCTGAGGGTTTTTTTCTCTGAGAAAACATCATTTTTGAGCAAACACAAGTGGTCTGTTTTCTTAGGGAGCATGGCACAATGCCATTCTTTGACACGTCAACTTGGAGCACGAGGGTGTCCAAGGGTGTAGGGGAAGCCGAGTGGTTAAAGTGTTCACTCATTATGCCAAAGACTTGAATTCAGTTCCCCACTTGGGTACAGTGAGTCAAGACATTTCTGGTGTGGCCTGCCAGGATATTGCTGGAATATTGCTGGGTCCCCCTGCCAGGATATTGCTGGAATATTGCTGGGTCCCCCTGCCAGGATATTGCTGGAATTGCTAAAAGCATCGTAAAACCATACTCACTCACTTTTTACCATACAAAGATATGGAAACATTACTGGGAGCATGTATAAGTGGGCTCACACTTGGGTCGAGCTTAACTTGGTACACATCTTTTAGATAGCCTAGCCCCTGATATATGTCCTGGAATTCCTCCATGATTGCCTCCCTGCTACTTGATGTAGATACGTGGGCATTCGGGGTCTCAAATCTTCACATGCTTTCAGCCCTAGGACAGAGGGACCTTCCTCTTGTACAATATAGAATTTGAGACATACACTCACATTCCAGTATGAGCACTGCATTTGGGTTGTGCCCCGAATCTTTAGCCACTTCCATCCTTGTCCAACAATTTGATGCTGTTACCAATGATTTTAGAGAGTAATAATCCCGTTCAGTCTTTAGCAGGTGTCTTAAGTTCTGTTGTAAATTGATCTGTACTTTAGTGAGTGTAGCATTTATTGCCATGTTGTGCTGGGACAGGTGTAGCCATGCTGTACTGGGACAGGTGTAGCCATGCTGTACTGGGACAGGTGTAGCCATGCTGTACTGGGACAGGTGTACTGTAGGGGACAGGTGTAGCCATGCTGTATTGGGACAGGGAGCATGCTGTAGCCATGGACAGTGCAAGGACAGGCTATAACCATGTAGTGCTGGGACAGGTATAAACATGTAGTGCTGGGACAGGTGTAGCCATGTAGTGCTGGGACAGGTGTAGTGCTGGGACAGGTATAACCATGTAGTGCTGGGACAGGTATAACCATGTAGTGCTGGGACAGGTGTAGCCATGTAGTGCTGGGACAGGTGTAGCCATGTAGTGCTGGGACAGGTGTAGTGCTGGGACAGGTATAACCATGTAGTGCTGGGACAGGTGTAGCGATGTAGTTCTGGGACCGGTGTAGCCATGTAGTGCTGGGACAGGTGTAACCATGTAGTGCTGGGACAGGTGTAGCGATGTAGTTCTGGGACCGGTGTAGCCATGTAGTGCTGGGACAGGTATAACCATGTAGTGCTGGGACAGGTGTAGCCATGTAGTGCTGGGACAGGTGTAGCCATGTAGTGCTGGGACAGGTGTAACCATGTAGTGCTGGGACAGGTATAACCATGTAGTGCTGGGACAGGTGTAGCCATGTAGTGCTGGGAACAGGTGTAGCCATGTAGTGCTGGGACAGGTGTAACCATGTAGTGCTGGGACAGGTGTAGCCATGTAGTGCTGGGACAGGTGTAGCCATGTAGTGCTGGGACAGGTGTAGCCATGCTGTGCTGGGACAGGTGTAGCCATGCTGTGCTGGGACAGGTGTAGCCATGCTGTACTGGGACAGGTGTAGCCATGTAGTGCTGGGACAGGTGTAACCATGTAGTGCTGGGACAAGTGTAGCCATGCAGGTGTAGCCATGCTGTGCTGGGACAGGTGTAGCCATGCCGTACTGGGACAGGTGTAGCCATGCTGTCCTGGGACAGGTGTAGCCTTTTAGTGCTGGGACAGGTGTAGCCATGTAGTGCTGGGACAGGTGTAGCCATGCTGTACTGGGACAGGTGTAGCCATGCAGGTGTAGCCATGTAGTGCTGTGACAGGTGTAGCCATGCTGTACTGGGACCGGTGTAGCCATGTAGTGCTGGGACAGGTGTAGCAATGCTGTATTGGGACAGGTGTAGCCATGCTGTACTGGGACAGGTGTAGCCATGTAGTGCTGGGACAGGTATAACCATGTAGTGCTGGTGCAGGTGTAGCCATGTAGTGCTGGGACAGGTGTAGCCATGTAGTGCCTGTCCTAGGTCTCCAGTTGTAGAAGTGCACCATACACCACACTATGTCTGCTCCAGCTCTCCGGCTGTACACTATAACACTGCCTCTGCCCTGTCTACCCACCAGCACGAGCCCACTCTTCACCTCATATGATGATTGAAACATATGAACATTGTTCAGTATTGTATTGTGCACACAATTTCTTGAATTCTGATTAATGATTATGTTTGTGTGTTTCAGATCGCCAGCTGGACAGAGAGGAAGCCACCGTAGGGTCCACAGCACAGAAAGGTATGTATCTCAATCAGTGTCTCCATCTAATTCTATTTTGTCTCAGGAGTTGCATCCCTTGGACGTGCCAGTATTCTGTGATCCTGATTCTGTTTCTAGGCTTGTCAGTACCATAACTGTGTTTTGGAGTTTCAGTAAAGAGGAAATGATGGCGCCAATTTTAGTGTCACAGAATTCTGGTCTGATCTTTAAACTTGGCCAGCATGGCAGCCAAGTCATTTTTTACCATAACTCAGCAATTTATGAAATTTGACATACATCAAGGATGTGTTTTTTCAATAATGTGTTATTTTGCAGTGTATCTGCATATTTATTATCTAATCTGCAGGGGCGGTGGGGTAGCCTAATGGTTAAAGCGTTGGCTCGTCACGCCGATGCCCCGGGTTCGAATCCCCACATGGGCACAATGTGTGAAGCCCATTTCTGGTGTTCCCCGCCGTGATGTTGCTGGAATATTGCTAAAAGCGGCGTAAAAACCAAACTCAGTCAGTCAGTCAGTCTAATCTGCAAATACCTGAAACTTTGTATGAATTCTGATAAGATTTTAAGCATAACCATCACAGCAGTTACATTAATGGTTATTAGTCAGCAGTCATATTTCAAATGTGTTGAGATTTGGTGCTGGTGTAATTAATAGTTGAGCCTATCATTTATGTTATGAATTTTTGCAAATGTTAATTTTTTACTTTGATTCAACTGTCATAGCATAATAGTTGGCAAGAAAAATAACAGAAGGCACAAAATTTAAAAAACATTTTTAAGACCCTACCTTTACCTTTTTGTATAAAATTATCTGCCATTGCAGACATATGTTTGCTTTGGAAACCCAACTTAAATTTGAGCAGCACTAATTAGAATTTATCTTCAGCAACCCATGCTTGTCGTAAGAGGTGACTAAAAGGTTGAGTGGTCAGGATCACGGACTTGGTTGAGGCATGTCATCATATCCCAGTTGTCTCATGATGATGATCACTGGCGCAGACTTGATTATTCACCAGGCTATCTGTTCTCGAAACTTTCGTAGCCCTACAAACTTCTTAAGCCCATTCTTAACACATTGGCTACAATCAAAGTTAAGAATTCTTAGGGCTACGAACGTTTCGAGAATAAGGGCCCAGCTGCCATCATATAGCTGGGATTTTGTTGAGTGTGGTATTCAACATCAGACTTGTAAGATGGACCAGACCAAATATCATCATTCTGCACTGTTTGAATAGCATAACAAGGCAGCCCATACTGTCCACTGACAGCAGCCCAGCATTTCTGACAATTTGGCTATAGTGTCAGTTATTGTTTGGTCTGCCTTTTGGCAACAGATAAGAACCTATAGTACTTAGTGGTCAACTGGAACAGTCCATGACCCATTGACCTCTGGTAACAATAGCACTGACATTTGAGGTTGATTAGTGAAGCTGGTGGCATGCAGGCCCCTTTGTTCAAACACAATTGTTCAATACAGCGTGATTTTATGAATATACGTACAGGCAATCATGTGGATTTATGATTGAGCTTCAAATTCCAAATTTTGTTCATGGCATGAAAGTTTCCACTCAATATTGCTGTCGTAAATGAATTTGCAAGTAGAAAGTTTTTTTCATTTGCACCAATTTTTTGTTAACTCAGTGTAGATATTTGTATGAAAATATTTTTTATATGGCATCAAATTATTACGTCATAAATTAGGTGAAGTGTTGTGGCTCAGTACTTTTGCTATTGATACTTTGTAGGACACTATCACCTGTCTGTGTTCACATAAATAGTGTAATGTATTAAGACAGTTGAAGGTATGGCACTGGGCAGGGGTGGAAATAACCCATTGCCAGACGCCCGAGTCCGGTGTTTTTTTCTGTCGGGCAAGCAAATTTGTATATCACACTGTACCGGTGTCCAGTTGACTTTCCAATATTAATTATGTTGTTTATTTAAAACATCAACAAGAAAACCTACGGTATAGTGGAAAAATTATCAGGGCAAGTGAATTTACATGTGCCACTGTTCACTAGCAATTTTAAAGTTATTTCCCCCTGACTGGGTATGATGTACTTATTTTGGCACAAGGTACATGCATCTTTCTCTGGGGTTTTGTATCTCATAGCCATGAAATAGACACGATAATGTGCCGCATTCTGCCTTTGATGTGTATCGGTTGTCAATTGCTGTCATTTGTAATTAGGGTCGTTTTGTGGGGCAAGATGAGGTAGTTGAGGTGGTGTCTGCTTTGACATAAGCATGCAGAGGATGGTGTCTGCTTTGACATAAGTGTACAGAGGGTTATGTCTTCTTTGACATAAGCGTACAGAGGGTGGTGTCTTCTTTGACATAAGCATGCAGAGGGTGGTGTCTGCTTTGACATAAGTGTACAGAGGGTGGTGTCTGCTTTGACATAAGCATGCAGAGGGTGGTGTCTGTTTTGACATAAGTGTATAGAGGGTGGTGTCTGCTTTGACATAATTGTACAGAGGGTGGTGTCTTCTTTGACATAAGCATACAGAGGGTGGTGTCTGTTTTGACATAAGTGTATAGAGGGTGGTGTCTTCTTTGACATAAGTGTACATAGGGTGGTGTCTGTTTTGACTTAAGTGTACAGAGGGTGGTGTTTGCTTTGACATAAGTGTACAGAGGGTGGAATCTGCTTTGACATAAGCATGCAGAGGGTGGTGTCCGTTTTGACATAAGTGTACACAGGGTGGTGTCTTCTTTGACATAAGCATGCAGAGGATGGTGTCTGTTTTGACATAAGTGTACAGAGGGTGGTGTCTTCTTTGACATAAGCATGCAGAGGGTGGTGTCTGTTTTGACTTAAGTGTACAGAGGGTGGTGTCTGCTTTGACATAAGTGTATAGAGGGTGGTGTCTTCTTTGACATAAGCATACAGAGGGTGGTGTCTGTTTTGACATAAGTGTACAGAGGATTATGTCTGCCTTGACATAAGTGTACATAGGATGTTTTCTTCTTTGACTTAAGCATGCAGAGGGTGGTACCTTCTTTGACATAAGTCTACATAGGGTGGTGTCTGTTTTGGTTTAAGTGTACAGAGGGTGGTGTCTGCTTTGACATAAGTGTACATAGGGTGGTGTCTGTTTTGACTTTAGTGTACAGAGGATTATGTCTGCTTTGACATAAGTGTACATAGGGTGTTGTCTTCTTTGACTTAAGCATGCAGAGGGTGGTATTTTCTTTGACATAAGCATGCAGAGGGTGGTGTCTGCTTTGACATAAGTGTACAGAGGGTGGTATCTTCTTTGACATAAGCATGCAGAGGGTGGTGTCTGCTTTGACATAAGCATGCAGAGGGTGGTGTCAGCTTTGACAGACGTGTGCAGAAGGTGGTGTCTTCTTTGACATAAGCATGCAGAGGGTGGTGTCAGCTTTCAGATAAGTCTACAGAGGGTGGTGTCTACTTTGACATAAGCATGCAGAGGGTGGTGTCAGCTTTGACATAAGTGTAGAGCGGGAGGTGTCTTCTTTGACATAAGCATGCAGAGGGTGGTGTCAGCTTTGACAGAAGTGTACAGAGGGTGGTGTCAGCTTTGACAGATGTGTACAGAGGGTGGTGTCTTCTTTGACATAAGCATGCAGAGGTGGTGTCTGCTTTGACATAAGTGTACAGAGGGTGGTGTCTTCTTTGATATAAGTCTACAGAGGGTGGTGTCTGCTTTGACATAAGCATGCAGAGGGTGGTGTCAGCTTTGACAGAAGTGTACAGAGGGTGGTGTCTGCTTTGACATAAGTGTACAGAGGGTGGTGTCTTCTTTGATATAAGCATGCAGAGGGGGGTGTCAGCTTTCACATAAGTCTACAGAGGGTGGTGTCTGCTTTGAGATAAAGGTGCAGAGGGTGGTGTCTACTTTGACATAAGTGTGCAAAGGTGGTTTGTTTTTTTGCTCATTTGCTGCCAGTAAGCACGGAATCTATTGAGTGGGTGTACTAATACAGGATCCTACCTTGCCCTACAAAACATCGGGTCCAGGGGATCCCTAATCTCAAAGGTGCTTAGAGAAAATTGAGGGTTCTCTAAACCGTGTATCTACCCTTTAGACTTGTCCACCATGCAGAAACTGCTGTGTTATGGTGTCCTGTGTACAGTGCGGGGAACACCACCAACATGTGAATATTGTATGTTTCAGATCAAAGAGAAAGAGTATTTAAGGAAAAAGATGGCTTGCTCAATCGGCGGCGTGGTGCTATGCGAAGGCGGGTCCACCAGGTCAACGGACACAAGTTCATGGCAACAATTTTACGACAACCAACATTTTGCTCACTTTGTAGGGATTTTATATGGTACGGATAATAAGTGTGATGTGTGTTCATTGATGGTATTCATTTCACACTTCATGTTCTAGTATAACACATTTCAAGACAAGGGGCTGTATCTGTTATATTGTGTAGCTGTCTCATTTGCAAAACTTAGCCAGACATCATTTTATTTTCTATTTGGCATGTACCCCCAACTTGCACGAAAGCAAAAACCTTCTTACTTCTGTGCTACATACAAGCCAGACATAAAACACTGTTTTGCAGAACAACTGATGAGTATTTGTAGATAATTTTACATTCTTAAATGTGATTCTATTAGTTCTCAGTTGGACAATAGGGAAGGACATTTCTAAGACTCTGGTAGTCATGCTCAACAGTATGCTATGGTCCTTTGCCATCAAACCATACCTGCTAAACTTGACAAGGGATCGAACAAACTTCAGTCATTTGAAGAAAGCACATTCTTTCACTTGTAGATTATTGTAGATGTATTTATACAAACAAGGCCCTTCGCAGTACCGTAAGCTTATTGTTCACATCATTCTCTGACCCGTGAACATCCGGGTTAGAACTTATCTTCAGCAACCCCTAGCTTTTCGTAAAGCATCACTGACTTGGTTGAAACATGCCATCACATCCCATTTGTGTAGAACGATGCCCATGCTGTTGATCACTGGATTGTCAGATCCAGACTCGATGATTTGCAGACTGCTGCCATATAGCTGGAATATTGCTGAGCATGGCATTAAACAACCAGCCAACATAATTGGTTATCACAATCACTTTTATATAAGCTAAATGGTTAACTTTTTCTTAACCCATTGGCACTGTTATATCATAGCAGAGGCATAACAGTAATATGGCCCCTCAAAACATAACAACTCACTTGAACTATTCTAAACATGTTTGATGTGCAGTTGCTAATATTGGCGAATAACTTGATCTGTGTAACAATGTGTACTACTTAGAGAAGGGATAATATTATGCAGGGTACTGTTGTTTTGTGTTACATTGTATTAATGCACAGTCAAACAGCTTATAACCTGATGTAAGGTTTAATATTCATGGATCTGTTAAGCACAGCTGGATACATTAACAAGTACATGATGAATATATATGTTACTGGTGACAATAGTGAAGTAGCCACAAATATGCAGATATAGAATGTGTTAGATCAAATATCCAGGTTTCTGTGTAGCTTTTGTTTGTGTTTTTATATCTATGGGAAATTTAAGATGTTGATTCTATATGTGAGGCAAGGGAAATACGGAAGTATCTGTGTCAGACATCTCTGAACTGAATACCAACGATGCATCTTGTTGTGTTGCAGGGGGCTTGGGAAGCAGGGATACCAGTGTCAAGGTAGGTGCCATTTGTCACCTTTAACTCATGTTGTTTCAAGAGGCAACAGTCGGCCTGTCATCTAAGGCAACATAATTCCTTGTAAAGATTTGTATTCCTTAATGGGGAAATGATCTTCTGTTGTGTGTTGAAAGACTCGAACTGGAATGAAAACATGGGTCTCAGGGGATAACAGATTGATATAGTTGTCAAGTGATCTACTGTTTGTTGACTGAAGACTAATCTCATACAGGAAGTACTTTACGAGTTTGATGACATCGGTGATACTAATCAGAAAACCATTTTCAGTTTCGGCTAGCATGACAAGTGGAGATTAGTTATTGCTGTTGGCACTTCTGTTTCAGTTTGTACTTGTGTTGTTCATAAACGCTGTCACGAGATTGTGGTCACCAAGTGTCCAGGCTGCACCAAGGAGGGGGATGAGGTGAGCTCTTGCTTCACTTACAGTATCATGTGATAAGGTTACGCTGACCCAATATGTTGGCATATCCTCAATTGAGGAATGCCAAGAATAAAAGTACTTTTGATCCATCTTCTAAAATGCTGAGCATCATCAACCCATGAAAGACCACCACCCTTTTCATTGAGTTTGACACTACTGTATGGTGCCGTGTTTGAGGTGGTTTGAATCAGCCTGGTTTGAAGGGGGTCGCCTTTCACATGGGATAGCTAGCCACAGATGTTGTTTCAGCATAAAATTTCGCAAAACTTTGCATAACTGTTAAAAAAATTTGTATCTGGGTTCTTTGTTCATATTCTGCAAATACAATTTAGATGAGCCTGATGATTGCTCAGCCAGCTGATGGGGTGAGGAAAAACCTGTCTCCATCACTAGATAGCTGGAAGTAACCATGAACAGGAGCATCTCATTTTACATATATATTTCATTTATATCATCACTGCATTTACATAAATATGTAAATAAGTAGCAAAGACTGTAGCCAGTAACTTGGGCCATCCCTGATCAGTTGCCCATGTGACCTAACGCATGGTATCTAGCCGGTGAACGTGAAATCAATTCCCTTTGGGTTTTTCATTTATTAACAAGTGGTGGAAAAGATATGTGTTGAAGACTGTTGAATAAACATAGTTAAACAAGACTAAGCCCAGTTAATTCTAAACTAGATACTTGATGTTGAAATTACAAATAACAGACTGTTATTTATTTCCGCCATTAATATTAAAACTTTTTTACTGTCACCAATTTGGAGTCACACGTGTCAACACACAAAATGGTGCCATGTGCAAGACCGAGCATCGTATAAAAAAATATATATTTTTTTATAGGAATTTTGTATGCAGTGATGATGTGCTTGTACATTGATTTCGAAGTCTTATACAAGGGCCACCTTTATATATGGGGTTGCTATATACAGTACCTTTTTATCCCACCGGCATATAATGCGGTGGGATATAGTCGTCGCCTCGTCCGTCTGTCCGTCCGTCCGTCCGTCCGTAATCATTTTGTTTCCGGACCATAACTCAAAGACCGTTCGATATTTTTTAACCCAAATTGGTAGATATGTCAAAAATAACCTAAGGTGGTGCCTTTTGCTATTTACAGATAATTGTCATTTTTATTTTTCTTGGTTTCCATGGAAACGTTTTGGACTTAGTCTTAAAGAAGGGTGGGCTTCGTTTCCGGAGCATAACTCAAGAACCTTTCAATATTTTTCAACAAAACTTGGTAGATATATCAAACAGATCCTAAAGTTGTGCCTTTTGCATTTCACAGATTTTTGGCATTTTTATTTTTCCCGGTTTCCATGGAAACGATTTGGACTTAGTCCCAAAAGTGAGGGGTGGGCTTCGTTTCCAGAGCATAACTCAAGAACCGTTCAATATTTTTCAACAAGACTTGGTAGATATATCAAACAGAACCTTAAGTGGTGCCTTTTGCTATTTGCAGATTTTTGGCATTTTTATTTTTCCCGGTTTCCATGGAAACGATTCGGACTTAGTCCCAAAAGTGAGGGGTGGGCTTCGTTTCCGGAGCATAACTCAAGAACCTTTCAATATTTTTCAACAAAACTTGGTAGATGTATGAAACAGAACCTTAAGTGGTGCCTTTTGCTATTTGCAGATTTTTGGCATTTTTATTTTTCTTGGTTTCCATGGAAACATTTTGGACTTAGTCTCAAAAAGTAAGGATTGCTTTCGTTTCCGAGCACAACTCAAAACCATATAATATTTTTCAACAAAACTTGATAGATATATCAAACAGATCCTAAAGTTGTGCCTTTTGCTATTTGCAGATTTTTGGCATTTTTATTTTTCCGGTTTCCATGGAAACGATTCGGACTTAATCCCAAAAGTGAGGGGTGGGCTTCGTTTCCGGAGCACAACTCAAAAACCTCTCTATATCTTTCAGCAAAACTTGGCAGATATGTGAGGCAGATATTGAAGTGATGCCTTTTGCTATTTGCAGATATTTGTGATTTATTATTTTCTCGGTTTCCATGGAAATGATTCGAACTTAGTCTCAAAAAGGAAGGGATGGGTTTTGTTTCCGGAGCACAACGCGAAAACTTCTTAATATCTTTCAGCAAAACTTGGCAGATATGTGAGGCAGATCCCAAAGTGGTGCCTTTTGCTATTTGCAGATTTTTGTCATTTATTTTTGTCATGATTTCCATGGAAACGATTTGCACTTAGTCTAAAATCAAGCTGGACTTAAGTAACTGTCAGATGATTTGTTCTTTCAAAGATGTGGGGGCCGGGGGGATATGTCATCTTCTGATGACTCTTGTTCTCAGTTGTTATCAGTGACCACCATGGGTCAATCACTGGCAGTCATTGTGCTCAGTCAGTGTGGATACAGTGACAACACTCATCCGCTCCATGTTTTCAGGTGTATGTTGAGTGTTTATCTCCCTTGTACAGATTCTCCACCGGATTATCAGTAAATCTGCTATGAATTTGTTTCACAATGTTGTCTGTGACACAAGACAGATTTCTGGCATTTCCCTTTACCCATACGGTCTGGTGATTTGTTTCTCCATTACTGTTTCAGGCCACGGGCACAAGGTTCAATATCAATGTTCCTCATCGGTTTTGTGTCCATAGTTACAAGCGTCCCACATTCTGTGACCATTGTGGCTCGCTTCTCTATGGGATCATAAAGCAAGGGTTGCAATGTGACGGTCAGTACAAAACACAAATTTTAAGTATTGTTTTACACATATATTCTTGCCATGCTTTTTGTAAAACCAAATGATGTTCGACTGAACAAATGTTATCAAAATGCCCACTTCACAATTTGTTAAAATATTAATGAAGTTTTAGGTAAATATAATGGTAACTTAATCCTTAAAATAATATCCATGAATAGTTTGGTATGTAAGTTTGCAATTGACCATCTGTCTCTGTGGATGTGTGGGTGGATGGTGATTAGACGAGAGTTAATGATTAGGTATTGAAAGTAATTAATTTTCTTGCTCACTTATCTGTGAATGCTTCCAGTATGGAGAGAATGATGTTTGAGGTGTTTGTTACAGCATGCAAAATGAACATCCACAAACGTTGTCAAAAGAATGTGGCCAATAACTGTGGTATTAACGACCGGATGCGGGATATGGCCCAGATTCTACACGACCTAGGAATCTCGGGGGACAAACTCAGTGGCAAGCCCAAGAAGGTTTGTATGTTGCCATTGTGCCAGAGGGAAGCTGCTCAGTGAATGGTCAGTCTGTGTTCAGTTGCACATTAGCTCATGAAGTCAGTAAGACATGGATGTATTTCCTGGGACTTATTTTCTATATCACTGGTATGAAAATTAATGTCGTTGTATTTAACTTCACTGCATTTCTCACCATATTGTTTCTGAACATGACTTCCAAGCCATGAAATAACTTACTGTATAAAGGGAGGTAATGAATGTTTGAAGGTTGAATCAGTATCAGAATTACCTCCCTTATATTCTTATATTGAGGTCTTTTATAGTCATTTGTCAAGTGTTTGTTAATAGAAAGCTAGATGTTTCTTGTCAAGATGTTAATGTTAATCTTTTTGGTTTCACCAGTGTGCATTTTTCTTATTGAGTACATGTCACATTGTTGAAACAGAACACTTATTCACCTTAAAAGCATAAGTTTACATTTAGATAATGTGGTATTTTGTAGGTGTTCAATATGACACTTAACACTGTCATGTTGAGGCTGGAAACTAATAACTGCTGTACATAAGTTACATGTACAGGGAGAAGTTGTCATTCTTATTGTGTTGTCTACCTCTAGGTAGCATGTCATCCGTACATAGACTAAGCATGATCACTGTTTCAATGCAGAATCTATTATTCAGAAGTTATTGCCACAATTTGAGATAACACACAGTGATGAATTTGCTATTACACCTTCACTGAAATCAAAGTGCATAATTTTGCATGATTGAGGATGCAGAGCTTTGACCAGCAGTGTTCATTGTTAAAACAGTGGCATATTCTCAGAAAACACTACTAGTAGAAACGTGTTGAGAACCTGCAGACCCCTTGATGTACAATGATGTTTTACAGTGTTGTGCTTTTCAGCCCTCATTTAGTGAGTCTCCCCACAAGAGTCCTACAACAGTTCATGAAAGATCTTACTCATCACCAATACCTGCAATGCCAGATGCATGTAAGTAAACCAGACAGCATCATGTGAAACATGGTGGCGCAGATATTGAATCTGTAGTGGAACAGTTATTGGTGTTGGAATTGTTATCTTGTAGTATACAGAGGATTTGTTCACATGAAGCTCACAGCTTGTTAAAAATATTCTAATGGTTGTTATATTGAACTGAACAAAGGAGCTTGTAGACCTTAGAATGTCAGTTGATATATTGAACTGAACATGCATGTTTACAGACTGTACCCGACATTCTGACAGTTGTTATATTAAACTAAACATACAAACATAACTATTGCAGATGAGGATGTGTTAATGGAAGCAGGTCGTCATACATTTATGGGGGACACGTTGATGGTGTCATCCACCAATGACCACCAGAGAGCTAGGAGTCCATCACAAGAGCGTGGGTCACGCATGCGTTACCATCTCACAGACTTCAACTTTATCAAAGTTCTTGGGAAAGGAAGTTTTGGGAAGGTATGATCATGTATTTAGTACAATCACCCTCAGTTTGTATCATTATCAATAAATTAAACAAAATTTAGTTCCTCTAAATGCTAAATGGTGTCATTCTGTTCCACTTGATGTAGATTAGATAGACAGTTGTTGCTGAATCACAGCATATCGCACCTCAAAACATTGGTGCTTTTACTTGAGGGCTGACTAAATCTCATTAATTAGTCATTACATACCAGGTGAGTAGCAAAATTGCATTGGTATGATATGTTTTATGGTAGTACTGTAGTAGTAACTGTACAAGTAGATGTCACACTTCATCATTATGCTTCTACCTGAATAAGTGTCATGCAGCTGATTCTTGTCCAACACAATTTACCCACACCTTGTTGTGCAGGTGCTGTAGCTTATGTTAACCCATGTTGTGTTGTGTTGGTGATGATGAACCAGTGATGTTAACCCATGTTGTGTTGTGTTGGTGATGATGAACCAGTGATGTTAACCCATGTTGTGTTGTGTTGGTGATGATGAACCAGTGATGTTAACCCATGTTGTGTTGTGTTGGGGATGATGAACCAGTGATGTTAACCCATGTTGTGTTGTGCAGGTGATGCTGAACCAGTGATGTTAACCCATGTTGGGTTGTGCAGGTGATGATAAACCAGTGATGTTAGCCCATGTTGTGTTGTGCAGGTGATGCTGAACCAGTGATGTTAACCCATATTGTGTTGTGTTGGTGATGATGAACCAGTGATGTTAACCCATGTTGTGTTGTGTTGGTGATGATGAACCAGTGATGTTAACCTGTGTTGTGTTGGTGATGATGAACCAGTGATGTTAACCCATGTTGTGTTGTGCAGGTGATGCTGGCAGAGTGCAAGGGTACAGATGAGGTGTTTGCTGTGAAAGTGTTAAAGAAAGATGTGATATTACAAGATGATGATGTGGAGTGTACAATGACAGAGAAGAGGATACTGGCACTGTCGGCTAAACACCCTTTCCTCACTGCACTACACTCCTCTTTCCAGACAAAGGTATGTGTTCCAGGCTGACTCATTCATCTGTAGCTTATACTACTAGCTAGTTAGCCTACACTGATGATCTGCTATCACATAGTGATGCCAGTTTTGATGGAATGAAGTTGTTCCTGTTTGTTTACAGCAGCTGTGTTCATGGCACAACAGACTTCTTAGATATTTTATGAGTAATGCTGCGGATTGTAGACATGCGTTGTCAGTTACTCACTGACTGAAACTATTGCATTCTTTGAAAATGGCTTCCTGCCACCAGGCGTATCATGCCAGTCTTCACATACTCTGAAAGCTATGTTTTTATGACCTGGCTCCATATTAATCAAGGCAAGTATGGTAGCATGTTGAAGTAGACGTTGAAGTAGACGTGGACTGATGAGGCAATGACAATGTCACCCGAGGGGATACTCATTATTTTTCCTTATCCTGACTCATGCTCTTTTGCTTGTCTCCTTCCTCTTGCGAACATAGTGGAACACTTGTATCTCCCTAATTGAAGCTCCCTTCAATGTAAAATCACTAATTAGTACACCACGAGTTACCTCCCTTCCACAAGCTCGGGAACGAGGGCGCCACCTCTACCCATGTGCCTCACTCTTCCTTCTTCGCCCAGTGAGCTGGACGTGAGAGCTTTGTGTCTCCCGACACACTATATCCTTTGATTATATTTAGTTAGTTACCTCGTGATAGAGATCTATAGAGGTTTAGCTAGTATCTTCAACAATTATATATTGATATTTAGTCGCGGTTTCTACTGTTTATGCACGGGACCGCGGTTGTTGCAGTGGATTACGTTGATAAAAATTCTGTACTGTTGCACATTACGCTTTTTATTCTGCTGCTGATCCGCATTTAATATGCCCTAGCTGTACTGCGCCATGTTTCATGTGATTCACGCTGCAGCTGCGATACTAATTTATCCAATTCTACCTTTAATAAATAATTACTTTGGCGCTTGAGACGCCGCAGCAGATAGGTCACGTGATGCAGAGTCTAGCATGACTGATACACCTGAACCCCTCGCCAGTCTACTGCTGTTGGTCGACCCTCCCGCCTGGGTTTCCGCTTAGAATGGTGGAGAGGCGGGGACGAGTCCGTCCGCCTCCAAGAAGCCGCCCTGCTTCCCCAGACATCCCTTCGTCGCACTGAGGGGTATTCAACGGTCTACTAGAACTTTCAGCCGAGATTGTTCTCATCGCAGATTTGGGCCTGTATGATGATCAGCCGATCATCATTCCTGATGTACATCAAAGAATGACTGATGTCGGCAACAGTGATGTCAGCGCAGATCAACATTCGATGATCTTCCTGAGGGTCCCGCCGCTACTAACACTCAACGCAGACTTCGCGACCCCCAGGGCAGCGCCGACCTCTGAGGGGAATTCAACGGTCTACTAGGACTTTCAACCGAGATTGTTCCAGCCGCTGAACTTGGCCTCTACGATGATCAGCCATCATCATCCTCGACGATGAGACAAGTAGCTTACCGGTGACAGCTACAATGACATCAGCAGAGATCGCCATGCAGCCTGATGTCTCTACACTGATGTCAGACGACTTACCTGAGGGCCCCACCACTAACAGCGCAGAGATGGCACCGACTACTTCGCCGCAGACCATCCCAGACGAAGCTACTACGGCAAATCATGGTCGCGGATGGAGGGTCACTACAGACTGGAGAAGCAGCCAGCCCAGAGTACCAGCCTTCGCGAAGGCTCCAACTTAGACAACACTCTAGAGGCACCTCCAGTCAACGTGAGCAGCCAAGACGATGCAGCCTTCGCTGGCGGAAGTCGCAGACCACCTTGACGGCGACCCAGATGTACAGCTGCTGGCCTTCGGCGGATAGATCATCACATTCCTCGCTTCATCCTTAGATGCAGACTCAGCCACCAGACTCACGGAAGCCTTCGCTAAGCTCAAATCGCCGCCCCAGCAATCGAACGCGAGGAAGCTTCGCTGGCGCTTCAGCTGGCGTTTTCATGGAAGGCGTCGCTGCGAAGGCATTCATGGGCACTCGAAGGACACCAATATAGATCGCCATTTAACAGAGTCAAGGGACTACTCAAGAGCTTCGCTGGCTGTCAATAGTCTCCGATCTCCTCAGATATCACCACATCGACGCCTTCACAGGTTACCACACAAGTCTGCACACAAGTCTACATCACCTTCCTAGAGTGGCAGTACGACGCAGACATACCTGATGAAGGAAGACGACGCAGATGCTATCACCCTACCGACGAATTCGACATTGCCGCGTAGCACAGAATCTAGACATAGCATCCCATAAAGCCACAAAAGTTCAGACACCATAATTGCCGAACTTTCACGCCAGAAGTTTTCCACGCGACAACATGGACCCCTTCTTCAAGGCTTAAGACATCGATGAAAACTACAAGTTGATCATCGATATCAACAATAAGAACTACAATCGTGAAATTGGTTCAGTTGAATCCATGACGAGACGATGTTCGTTGGCCTAAATAGATCTAGAACGATCATTGAGACACTTATCACCAGATTTCGTGAACACCCACTTCTGAAAATGATAAGATGATCCACTCGCCCTACTTATGCAGAACCAGCAAGTCCCAGGTCAGCCCGCCGAAGGAGCTAGAGCCTCACCAGCTACAAGGGACGCCGCTGAGGAGAAGCGCCACGACCCCACATCCTGTTAAACACAGAGGCCATTCGCGAAGCAAGCCTTATATATATATATATATATATATATTCTAATCGGACTTTGACTCGATACCTTCGCCTAAGGTCGGAAGGCTAAGTGGCTCCAAGTCTACTTCACCAGTAGATCTAGAAGGGATACTTCGAGAGCTTCGTGAAGTCTCCGGCGCTCACCGGTGAAGTCTCCTCCAAGGTCTCCATATACTAGCCACTCGCCATATATAGCTACTCCTCAGTCCGTTTCAAGACATCGCATAAGTTGTCTATCAACTGTATGCCAGATGCCGCCTATAAGCCTACGCCAAGACAATTGCACAGGCTATTTACAACACAGAACGCCGCTGTATTAATTTGTCAACGACGCTTCATAGATCTTCACAGAAATCAACTATTCCGTATAAATTGCTAGTATATGCAATCCCCGACGACGATACGATTATCTACATGCGACCATTACGCATATCTGCAGACAATTCAATATCGAAATTGAACAGCAGCCTTGTTACAGCCGCAGTAGTATAACTCATAATCGCCAACATTTCTGAGAAGAAATATGTACAACAAATTCAGCTTTAATTCTACAATTATGACGATACATTCATGTATACAGTCTACAAGCTGACAACTTACAAGTTATTGTACCTTTATATATAAAGAAGTCGGAATTATATTCAAAACTGAAGTACTTTCACGACAGCCAGGAAAATAACCTACCCAGCATTAATATTACAGAGCAAGGTATTTTACCAAGCTTTCGCTACCATTAATCCTCGAAACACGTGGCACTCACTGGGTAACTTCGGAAGTTACGATGAAGACCGATGATTGTTCTAATATCAACGACGGCACTATATTATACAAGGTTCCTTTTCCTGCTACACCGGTGACATCACAGCTGGTACTCTACAGAATCAAAATGCCTTATTCTGATTGGACCCCGATGAACAACGCCTACACAGAGGTCGAGCATAGTTCACAGTTCAAGACATAGGTTGCAAGTGACAACTTTATATCAATGAACGAGAAAGCCTCCTTACAGCCCAGTTAACCTGAACCTTCATGATTAGGCTGCTTTCTTCAGGTTAGAGACCTCCCCTGTCAAGTTTAGACAAGGGCACAGCAGTCAGGCGATTTTACATAAAGTTCATCGAGGACACAAACTCCCGGTTAGACATATACATCGCCAAGGACATCGCAACGATTTACCTAGACGACGGATATAAGTGGATCGAATCCACAGCGCTTCAGACTACACCTGAATTTCATCATCAAGCTACTAACACAACTAGATGGTTAGTAAACCTACTAAGTTTCTGTTTGGAGAATAAACGGAAGTTTCACGCACTAACTTGGGGATATGAATATAGTGCTACAACACCTCACAAGTGAGGTTTATGAACATGCCTGGATGACATACTTGACTCCATGATACGATGATGCTATCACGCTGGCCAGCAAGAGCACTGTAAATTTATCTCCACCAAACCAAACAGGAAGAAAAATATACAACAGATTTTTTTTCCTCTATCATCAACTTACGCAGAGTGTAGTCTCAATGCACTATATCTCCGCTTGGATCAGAACTGTCATACTACGCATACAAGACAGATGGACCTAATCCGACCCTCCATGAGCTTTAATACTCTTGATATTAGAGCCCTAACTTCTACAATTTCATCTACACAAATGTTATTTGAAATAATGGAGGGTTTATTACTGTAGATCCGATATGGTGGTTGCCAACCATTATCTGAGAGATATCACCACCGAGGACATCTCAGGTATCCACCAATTTCGATCCCATGGTCCTTGCACAACAGTTGACAGTTCCTCGAGAAGATAAGTCAATCTTACAGATTTTTACTTATCTTATAACAGTACTAAATAGCTTCATGCTATATATAATTTGCTTAAGCTCGTTTTTTATCATCACAGTGGTTACATGATAAATGCATTAGCTAACAAACTCTACAGAGTTTTTTTGGCTATTATATAATGAGCTTAAGTCAAGTATATTTTAAGCATAGTACTATACTCATATTGTAAAAATACATTAGCTAACAAACTCTACGGAGTTTTGCTATATTATATAGGTAGCTTAAGCTCATTCATATCTTAAGCTCAGTACTATGTTTATATCATATAACTATATTAGCTAACAAACTCTAAAGAGCTTTTGCTATTTGGCTTAAGTTTCATCATATCTTAAGCAATATGGTTACATTATAACATGTATTAGCTAACAAACTCTATGGAGTTTTTTGCTATTATATATGTAACTTAAGCTTATTCATATCTTAAGCAGTACTATGTTTATAGCATATAGGTATATTAGATATCAAAACTCTAAAAGAGTTTTTGCTATTATATATTGGGCTTAAGTTTTCATCATATTTTAAGCTTTATGGTTACATTATATCATGTATTAGCTAACAAACTCTCACGGAGTTTTGCTATACATATGTAGCTTAAGGTTTCTTCATATCTTAAGCTCAATACTATGTTGATACCATATAAGTATATTAGCTATTAAAACTCTAAAAGGTTTTTGTTATTATATATTTAGCTTAAGGTTTACTTCATATCTTAAGCTCAATACTAGGTCTAAATCAACATAATAAAATGTATTAGCTATCAAACTCTACGGAGTTTTACTATTATATATATATAGCTTAAGTTAATCATATCTTAAGCTCAGTACTATGTTTATAACATAAAAGTATATTAGTTAATAAACTCTAAGGAGTTTTTGCTTATATACATTTAGCTTAAGTCTAATCATATCTTAAGCTTAGTACTATGGTTACATTATAAATCTATTAGCTAATAAGCTCTACAGAGTTTTTGGCTATTGTATATGTAGCTTAAGTTAATTATATCTTAAGCACAGTACTATACTCATATTGTAAAAATATATTAGCTAACAAACTTTACTAAGTTTGGCTATTATATATGTAGCTTAAGTTAATTATATCTTAAGCACAGTACTATACTCATATTGTAAAAATATATTAGCTAACAAACTTTACTAAGTTTGGCTATTATATATGTAGCTTAAGTTAATTATATCTTAAGCACAGTACTATACTCATATTGTAAAAATATATTAGCTAACAAACTATACTAAGTTTGGCTATTATATATGTAGCTTAAGATAATTATATCTTAAGCACAATACTATACTCATATTGTAAAAATGTATTAGCTAACAAACTCTACAAAGTTTGCTGTTATATATATAGCTAAGCTTATTCATATCTTAAGCTCAGCACTGTCTATATCATATAAATATTTTAACTAACAAACCCTAAAGAGGTTTGTTATTATATAATTAGCTTAAAATTAATCATATTTTAAGCTTAGTGCTATGTTTATATCTTAAAGTATTTTAGCTAACAAACTCTAAGGAGTTTATACTAGCATATTAACAAGCTTAAGTCTATTAGTCTTAAGCATTGTATTAATATTATATATACTTATCATAATAAGTACATTGTAATAACCTCTATATGGCAGCTGATAAGCTGGCAGCAGGAATTCATCAGTTCAATGCCTTTATGAAGTTCTCATAGGGTTATTACAATCATCACAGTTCAAATCACTAATTATTAAAATCCAAAGTATTATATATTCCCACCTCCGCCTGTTGGATTCTACAAGCAAGAGCATGAGTCAGGATAAGGAAAATATGTAATTTTTTGAGTAAAATTGATATTTTATACTTATCCTGACTCATGAGGTCAGCCCTCCCATCCTCCCCAAATAACACTTTGGATTTCCCTGTAAATTCAAATGTTGGGCTCAGTATATGAGGAGAGAGTGAGGCACATGGGTAGAGGTGGCGCCCTCGTTCCCGCGCATGTGGAAGGGAGGTAACTCGTGGTGTACTAATTAGTGATTTTACATTGAAGGGAGCTTCAATTAGGGAGATACAAGTGTTCCACTATGTTCGCAAGAGGAAGGAGACAAGCAAAAGAGCATGAGTCAGGATAAGTATAAAATATCAATTTTACTCAAAAAATTACATTTTTAAATCTTCATATGATTTGTGTTTTCCAGGAGCGTTTGTTCTTCGTGATGGAATATGTCAATGGTGGCGATCTGATGTTCCAAATACAGAGAGCTCGCAAGTTTGACGAGCCACGGGCACGCTTTTATGCTGCTGAGGTGACACTAGCTCTCATGTTCTTACACAAAAATGGAATTATCTATAGGTAAGTCTGTCTTTGCATCTGTTAGATAAGAGGTAAAAACAGACATGAGTCTTACCAAAGTTGTTCCAAGGCAGCTCATGAATGGCTTTTGGCCTTTACCTTCTTTGACCCCTTGAGAGATCTGTATTGGTTTATTTGCCTGTGGATTCCCTGTTGAGACACAAATTCAGGGGTGTGAGAGGCTTATCATGACAGGAATTCCTTGTTTGAGATGTTAACCCATGTTGTGTTGTGTTCCAGCAAAACATGGGAAGTATTCTGTCATGATGTACTGTAATGAAAGTGCAGGGGTAAGAAAGGCCTGTTATGTATAAATGTCCATTGATGGGACCTGCATCTGGGTTTAATGAGACAGGGTTGCATGAATTCACTGACAGTTCCTGTGTAGGTTGACATGAAAAATCCTGCAAGTATCCATAAACACTTCAAATCTGAATGACGTTGTTACTATTATATATTTACATATGTAAAAATGTTTGATTGAGAATAACAAAAGTCAGATTTAAATGTTAAAAATATACCCTCCTAAAATATTTCCTATATCTAGTCCTTACTGTTTTGCTTGACAGAGATTTAAAATTAGACAACATTCTCCTTGATGCGGAAGGCCACTGTAAGATTGCTGACTTCGGTATGTGCAAGGAGGGAATGTTCGAGAACAGAACTACGCAGACATTCTGTGGGACACCAGACTATATTGCTCCAGAGGTGAGATAAATATATAGAGTATCGTCTGGATGCTTCAAGGCTCTTTTAATCCATGACAAACCATATTCTGGTCATAACACGATAACACAACTGTAGTGTTAATCTATGTGTTAAGAGCTCCATGTGTATATGGATCTGCAGGGATTTTCAAACTGAATGAGTTTGTACATCATGACACTGAAAACTGTACATGACCATTCAGTTCATCCAATCCTGTACATCTCACTACTGACATGTGGCAAATTTATCATTACAAGTTTTATTTCAGTGACACATTTGAATGACAAGTAGGTTTTCTAATCACAAGTCACACTAAGTAGTATGCCGAACAGTGAGTGAGTGAGTGAGTGAGTTTTACGCCGCACTCAGCAATATTCCAGCTATATGGCGGCGGTCTGTAAATAATCGAGTCTGGACCAGACAATCCAGTGATCAACAGCATGAGCATCGATCTGCGCAATTGGGAACCGATGACATGTGTCAACCAAGTCAGCGAAACTGACCACCCGATCCCGTTAGTCGCCTCTTACGACAAGATAGTCGCCTTTTTATGGCAAGCACATGGGTTGCTGAAGACCTATTCTACCCCGGATCTTCACGTCTGTTGTCACCAGACTAGCAACGTCACATGACATACCGAGACACAATACCATCCATGCAGACCAACGGTTGTTTTATGTGTTCTAGCTAGATGCACTCTGAAGCAAGAAGTCATGATGAAGCTTCAGTCAACAATGAAACATTTGGATTTTTTTTTCATCACATGAATTGTTGACATTTTTATGAACAAGGAATAATGGTTTTGTGAATTTCATTTATTTATTTATTCCCAAAAACTAGTCTGTGAGAGAAACTGATGTGTATTGTGTTTGCCAGATTCTGCAGGAGCTGGAGTACGATGCATCTGTGGACTGGTGGGCACTGGGGGTGCTCATGTACGAGATGATGGCGGGCCAGCCTCCGTTTGAGGCGGACAATGAAGATGACCTGTTTGAGTCTATACTTCACGATGATGTGCTGTACCCGGTCTGGCTCAGCAAGGAGGCAGTAGCCATTCTCAAAGGGGTGAGAATTGTCTTCTGTAGTCAAGACTTGTCATCCTGTCTTAATCCAGTAGGAAGCTGGGTTAGAATAGCTCCCCAATACCCTATTGCTTGTGTTTAGAGGCAATTAATTGAATTTGATCAACTGAGTTTATTGCATGTGACCCTATACACTATAGCATGTGACAATGCTCATAATTCTGTTAGTGACAGCCCAAAATGATGTAGCTGGAATCTTGCTGATTTGGGCATCAAACAGCAGTTCAGTTGTGCTGTGTTATATGAATTTCATTTACGTAGAATCAACATAAGGTGTCTTGCTTCATAGCAGGGTACAACAGTTTTACTGTCCCTTCTTAGAAAGTCATGTGCAACCTGTTATCTGGGGTTTAGGGGATGTATTGTCCAGCTCAGAAATTTGAAGTAATTTATCAATATCATATGAACCAATCAGATCTCTAACATTAATGTGATTATTCTCTTGTTCTAGTTTATGACAAAGAACCCAGCAAAGCGACTAGGCTGTGTTAAAACCCAGGGCTGTGAGAAAGCTATTCTCATTCACCCGTTTTTCCATGAGAAAATTGACTGGGAGGCATTAGAACAGCGGAAGGTGAAACCGCCCTTCAGACCAAGAATTGTAAGTATGATTTCTCATCTAGAAGTTTTCATATCTTACTTGATAGTAGCAGGATTAGATAGAGAAGCGACAAATACACATGCAATTTAGAAGAAAAATAATGTTCAAAGAAATCTTTTTTCAATCATTTTGTGTTACTTTTTTCCCTATGCCCTTGATTCATACCTTGTTGCCCAAGCTTCTAAATGTCTTATATATGAAATGTTTTGTGTGTTACAGAGAAACAAAACAGACGCCAACAACTTTGACAGGGACTTCACGTCGGAGGAGCCTGTGTTGACACCGATGGATCCAACCATGGTGAAGTCCATCAACCAGGAGGAGTTCCGAGGATTCTCCTTCATCAACCCTGATTACGGCAAGCTGGACATAGAGGGCGCTGCAGGCACATGTGCTGCTGCCTCAGCTGTGGGGACAGGGCACTAGTGTCTCCCACCCCATCTACCAGCACCCCTTCCCACAGACAGACCGACAGACAGATGGACACACACAATGGCCCTACATAGTTATTTATTGGATCCCAGTTCACTCTGAGCATTGGCGGTCTTGAGATGTATGTTTGAACTGTGAAGCCGTCTCTCTGAAGGGTGGACAAATCCAGCCACTCTGTCCTTCAGCCGCTACAGATGGCACTCTCTCCTGTATTTATTGATTCCACGGCCCCAGAATCACTCCAGATATCTTCATGCTGTGTAGGAGGTATGGAGGCAAAGATGGAACAGTTTTAACTTTGGTTTATTGTCTATCAACTGTTGGACAGCTCCACCACATAACATGTTTATTTATTCAAATCAAGTCTTCTTTGTTTTGGGTTTTTCTTCCTGAGTGAGAATGAGTCAGTTTGATCCCGTTGACCACTTGATAGTTAAGGCTTTTGTTGTTACCCATGATGATATTAAGTTTGTGCTGACTCTAAGCCCTGTGTTCATTTTGTTATGACTGATTCCTCTAAGGTATCAAGTATTACTTGTCATAATACATGCTCAGCATTTCTTCTACATTTGTTTATAAAGAGGCTGCACAGAAAGCTGGCCTGTGTCGACCAAATGTTTAAGAATCATGGAATAATGCGATTCACAGAGGAGCAGTGATTGTTCAACCAAGTTGGTGAATGACTTACCATGAAGTTGATCTTGGTTCCGGAGTCAATTAAGACAAGGCAGTTTCTGACTCTGGGAGGCTATATCACCCTGCTCCCTCCTTTCAGCAGCATCTTTTGTTGCATTCAGATGTTTTTCTTCTTTTCTTTAACTTTGGTGTTGAGCCTCTTAGATTTGATAATGAGCTATCAGAGAAATCTGAGGCAGCATTTTATAATAAAATACCCCTCAAATAATTGAAGAAAATGCATAATTATATTCTCTACTTGTCCCCTACCCAATATATTTATTCTCCAGGAAGGTGTAAATCAATAGTGATCTGTTGTATATGAGAATGTTATTCTTAAAGCTGTACAAATCCAGTGATGTAAGGAGCTTTGCATTTGAATGTTCTATTATGGCATAAAATGTCAGCTAACCTCTTTTATGCTAAGTCCAATTTTTTGTGCAAGTTTGCCTGACAACCGTCATTAAAAATCTCTCATTTCTCCATTGTTAATGAAAGTTGGTGGAAAGCCTGTTTAATTTGCCAAATCATAATATACAGTCTGTTGTTCAGTGTCCCTGCCTGCATGGTTGACCTGTGGGCTACATATCAATGTGGTGGCCATCTTGCAATGTGACCTATTTTTTACATTTAATACTGTTATCTCAACAACTCTCCCCTGGTCTTTTTGACAAAGATTGTGGACAAACCTCTCACTGAATGTAGTAATGCTGTAACCATGCAGCTCAAAATAACACTTGTCATCTTCAGACGAGAACTTCTCATCCATTCGTGGACTATCAAACACTACACATTTAGATGTAATTCAATACCATCTAGGTAAATTGTTATTTGTGAAAATACATATTTCATAGAAGGTGACGACTATTTGTAGGAATCCTGCTTTGCCATCAAGTCCAGGGCTAGTATTGTCATATTGTTGCAAGATGTCCTTCATTAAATGCATTGTCAGAGTACTGACTTTTCATGTGCAATATGGGTATTTTAGCATCAAGACAGTTGTGTTCCTGTTATTACTATTATTAATAATTGTTTATGAAAGCTGTAGCTATATGCATATTAAAGACTCAAATCAATATTTCATGGAAAGAGACTAAAGATGTTAATATATATCATGATACTCCAGTCCATAGGTAAGTATGGTCTAGGGCTGCAGACATTTGTTGACTTATGGTTATTTAAAACTCAGATTATTGGGCAAAACATTATATTATGTTTTTCCTTGAAATATTGCTCTTCCCTTTAATATGCATTTGGCATGCCATGAGAAATAAGTTTTTCACAGGAGTGCACTATCTTTTCCATTTCTCTATTATATATAATATATTTGTGAATACAATGGCTTTTAGGCAGGCCTTGACTGTTGATTTTTTATGTGTAAATTATGAATATTTGTAAAAATGTTTGGTATGATACACCTGACACAAGTGGCCACAGATAACCTAGGCATATCCAATCTGCATTGTGTTGTTAGGCATGTGTTTCTCGCAGACTGCACTAGGTCCCATGCTCTCCTCTCTCTCTCTCTCCTTTCTTTCTGACTCTCTCTCACACATACACTGAGTAGGGGTATGACTATCAACAACTTGTAACAGTATTGTTTTATTGAGTCACTCACAGGAACGTTGTGTGCATGTTCAACATGGCTGTTGTGCAGAGGCCAACCAGATGTAGGGTTGTAGAGAATCCCAGCCAGGGCATTAGTCTCCATATGGGAAACTCATTGTTGTAGGGTCAATATTGCTGATATTAACACTGAGTGTGATTTATTTCTGTATCTTGGAGGGAACATGCTGAATACATTCATAACTTCTGAAAGAAAATGTCTTTGCACCGAAATGGTAGGTTATGTACTGATGGTCAGAAGTTGAGCCACCGTGCATTGTGTCATCTGTGTAGAGTTATGTAAAGTACCCAGGACTACGGCATATATGTGCCTGAATGACATTAAACCAGGAAGAGAACAATAGGCTAATTCAGCAAGCATAAAGAGTTCAATCAAGTTGAATAAGGAGTTAATGGAAAAACCAACATATTGAGATCATGTCAGAGTTATGTTTGTACAACAGGTTCAAAGATAATATATTTCATGTGTTCAAATTGTTGGTTCATGAATGAACTATTTTGTCATGGTAAACATGTTATTACAGTTGTGAGTGAAAAATATCTCTTACGTTGAGAAAGAAGGAAATGCATTTCTTGGAGTGTTCTTAATCTCTGACCATCAGGATGTGATAGTTTGATTTGATGTAGAGAACATTTGCTAAGTGAGGAGTTGAATATTCATGTTATTGTTAGAAGTGTGAATGTTTCAGGAGAAACCTGAAACCAGATAGATGACATTTGGTATTTGCTGTTTGAAACACTTTGTTCTGTTGGAGCTCAACTTCTAGTCAACTCTTTCAATAATCATTAAGGAAATCTAATCCTGCAGCTATTCCTGGTGGGAATATCCCCGATTTGTGCAATATGAGACGTATTTCCTTCAAAGCCAGCATACAGAGGGTACTTCTATAACATATTGGCTTGCTCAAAGAACAGTATTTCCATGTTACAAATTCATCATGGATACACTAGAAGTTGAATGTATTTTCCTGGTTAGATCAAAGTGAGAGCCAGAGTCTTAACCTTACTGTATTCCTTTGTTAAGTTCACAGCACACTGTAAAGGTGGCAAGTATATTGTTTCTGTCTTGAGTTGAGTGAGTTTGTTTTCATTGTTATAGAAAAAGGAATCACAGCAATCCATGGTAGAGCTGGTGCAGCAAGCTCTCTTCTCCCCACCATAACACCCATTCTTCAGTTCCATTACTCTGCCTACACATCACATTTCAGTATGAGTCGATGATGAGGCCAGGAGCAGTAGACATCAGCAAGGTTGTAGCTGGGACTGCATGCCGCCTGCTTGCTCTGCACGCCGTCTGCTTGCTCTGTACACCAATGGCTACTTGGTGGTGGTACAACCCTCTCTCCTTGTCCCATTTCTGCAGTGGTCACACCCTGTAGTGTGTGTGTCGGTGCATCTCTTCCCTGGGTGCTGGATACCTTTACATGACCACATCCACATCCACGACACCACTTTCAATATGACCCTGCAGCAGTCTCTGTGGTGGTGGACCTCTCACTGTCTCTTGGCAACGCCTTTTCACCACTACAACAACCACATCCACTATCCCACTTTATCAATATATCTGTCCATGTGGTGGTGCATTGCTCCCTGTCTCTAGGCGTCTCCCTCACAACCACAACACCCCTGCCCACCAACATACTCTAGATTGCAGTGTATGTGTAGTGATGCATCTCTCTATCTCTTGGGTTCACAACAGACCGCCTTCATGGTTTAGTTGATGGGATGTCTGTGATGAGAGCAGAAGGTCAGTGGTTTGCTCCCTGGCCATGTTACTGAAGGGTGTCAAAACATGGTATTCAGCATTAGGAGGATAAAACAAGAACTGAAGTGCTCAGTCGTGTATACAAGATGTGAGCAAGAAACCATGTAAAACTGCTATATAAGTGCAATAATCTTGAATGCAACGTTAAACCTCTCTTAACCCCATTACCACAACCCTGCTTAGCATACCATATCCTGCATTCGTGTGTCGCGGTGCATCTCTCCCTGTCTCTTGGCATCCTACCACCACCACCCCAGTTCCAATACATGCCCAGTGACTTGCACTGTGTGGTCTCGCCCTGTCTCATCACCTTCACACCACCATCACCATGGTGCCCATCAGCCACCTTTCACACCTGCCATGCTGACAGCTTGTCCTCATCAACACAAGCTGTACAACAGATAGATTTCATAACATTTCAGCCGGTTTCATTCAGTTATGTTATATTGTATGTCTGACAGGATCAGCCTAGGACATTGGAGGGAACCTTTTGCCACCTGGTCAGCAATGATTTGGTGAAGCTTTGGGCACTCCTTCTCGCTTGCCAAAGAGATGAGATAGCCTTGATGGGTAGAATGTGTGCTATTAGTGACTGAGATTGCTAAGGGGCAGGTACACACCAGCATACGTACAGTGGGTAATGTGCTGTGCTGGAGCACTCGGTAGGACGACATTCATCATCATCAGCCTTTCATCCTGTAAGATCTGATAACATTGTTGTACTGCCTCGCAGCAAGCCAAATGTGATAATACAATACAATAATTTTAGTCAATTTTTAAATTAGTATAAATTGTGACTGTGCATACAATGTCTTCAATTATTTTATCTTGACATAACATTGTCCTGTTTTAACTCCACATTTATTTTGATGGTTCATTTTACTCTGTGCACAAAGGGACAATGTCAACAGTCAGCCTTCATCAACTAGACTGGCATGAAATTATGTCAAAGCCATAAATTCTGTTGAGAAACTAAGTTGTGTGATGGGGCATATGAGACATGAGGGAGTGTGTACGTACGGTGATAATATTTACCTGAAGACATCTCTCCACTTCCTTGCAGCAAGCATAGCCCTCCAAAAAAAGATTGTTGCTTGTTGGAGTGTACTTTGCACAATATTACACAGTATGCCAGACTGAAAGCCTATTTGTTGTTCCTTAATAAAATGTTTCTGTATAACAGTGCAGATTTTAACAGGCTTGAGCAAAACAGCTTGCTTATTTCTGTTTCCATCAACATAACAAATTTGGCCATGGTTTTGTTTGGAAGAATCTCTGAAATTGCATATGTGCTTTGATCTGACCAGGATACAGTGGGAGACAGGGTGCCGGGCAGTGTACCCCAGTTTCACTCAAGTACTTACTCAGATGGGTAAGACTGAACTCTCGTTGAAGGAGGAGGCGGAGGAGGATTACATTAACCATCGTGTGTCCAGTTGATTTATCCTAAATACTGACTTTATCATTTACCTAAAATGTGAAATGTTCTCCAGATGACAACAGATCTGAACTTGAGTAATCTGGGGTGCCTGTATAATGAGTATCACAATGCTCCCAGCAAGGTTCAGTGTTGGAAGACTGTGGTGTTGAGCAGGGGAAGACCACACCACCTGTTCCAGTGCTTCAAGGCCTACAGAACCAAAGTCCTGTTTACAGTATCGATAATGATTCAGATCTGAAACACTTTCATTACTTGTCTGAAGATCTTCTAACCAGCTGGATAAAGACATTGCCTTGATCAACACCACCAGTCTTCACCAATTTTGTTCCTTCTGCATTTGCCTCATTCTAAGTTTACTAATAGAACAGAAATGGCTTAAATTTGGCAGTTACATGGCAACATTTTTGTCCGATATTTTGATGTTGTTTGTAATACTTGTATGTCCTCATCCTGATTGGATGATGTCTGAAACTTATATTTTGTTTTAAATCTTTTTTAAAAGTTACAATATTTATCTAAAGATATAATTTAAAATGTTTATACTGAACGTTGAGCAACTTTAAAATATATACTTATAAATAAATATGAATAATATATATGTTTAATGCTTGTCTAGGGATACCGAGATCTAAAGCTGACATGCATGCAAGGACATTATTGTGGCTCTCAGAGGGAGTATTTCCCACTGTGTGTCCGGCCCTCAGTTGGGATATTATGTAAGGTAGATGACTCTGCTATTCAGAGGTGAACTTACAATGAGGTGATATTTACTCATTTACTCGATCTTTATTGAAATTGGTGTCCTGCTACTGATGTGTTTCCATGTTGTTATTGTCGTATGCTATCTAGCAACAAGAGTGTGCCGTCACAGACTCTCAACTTCATAGAAAACAGTTTAGATCCACGTGTTACAGGCTAGTGACTGAAATAAATGCTTTTGAAATATACACCGTGTCTGTTTCTTCTTCTGCACACGTAACCTCTACACTGTGGTCCCCTCAACATTGTGGTCGTGTTTCGAGTAACCAGTACAACTAAGATCAGCTACTGGGTAGACTCACACTCCCACTTTTCCCTTAAATGGAATACTTCTAGAAAGTTTTCCATTTGTTGCAAATTCAGGATACCCATTCAACTGGGGGCATCACAATTGTCTGTGCAGAGTAACATCCCTTACTTTTTGCTAGGATCTAGATAAGTTGTTCTCTGGTGTGTTTTTACATTGGGTGTGGGCCCTTGTGCCAGGAGTTTCAAATCCCAAATTCACCCTGCTCATGATGTTTACTTCTGAGCACCATACTCTGCTAGAGTTTAATGACTGACTTATGTAAAGATCTGTGACCTGCTACTTTGGCATTTACCATCACTGTAATGATACCTTTACAAGAAGTGATTGGGATGATGAACTTCAATTCCTGCAACAGAAAAATGGTTGTTGCAATTGCAAGAAATACAAGGTGTTAGGCATCCAGATGTTTTCGCCTTGATGACAGAGTTTGTCAATTGAAACAGTTACTTTCTGGTCAGACAGCATTAATGTCTTGTGCTGAATAAAAAAAAAAATAGTCATAGTAAATATTGAATATGTTCTGAGTAGAAACAGTATTGGCTGCAGTGTGGTGTAAATACTGGATTGACTCTGGACAAGAAGGTATACGAAAATGGGAGCAGGAATGTGCTAGATGTCATGGGGACAAAGCAGGACCTGCTTGTTCAATGATGGCAACGTTACCAAAACTGAGACTCCAATAGTCAAACCGTGCTTTCAGCCAGACGGGAGTGGATTATGCCAGGCCTTTTATCACAGTGCAAGGCAGGGGATAATCAAAACGAATATTTGTGTCTGTTCACTACATGAGCTGGAGATGACATACCTGGACAGAAGTGCGTTCCTGGATGCTTTCTACAGAATGGTAAATCGAAGAGACCTACCACAAAGAGTCATATAGGACAATGGAACAAGCTTTGTTGATCCTGTTAAAGAACACAAGGAATGTTCCATAGCAAACAGAGGAGTGACAACCCTCCATATTCACCACGCTTTGGGGGATGATGAAGTCAGTTAAACGTGGTATCTTAGCTATCCTTTGGAATAGTGACGTCAGAACTAGAAACGGCATGTACTTGAGCTGAAGCGCTGATAAACTCACATCCTCTCAACAGTCAGTCGACTCACCCCCAAGATGTAATTCCTCTGACACCAAGGTACTTCCTGCACGCCCATCCCCTGAAGTTGAAGACTCTAACTAGTAAAATACTGTAATCTTACCTTAAAACAGACATATAAGACTGCCGAGTACCTTTGAATCTTTATTCGTGTCAGAGTAATGTATCTGTCACTTGACTTGCATATACAGATATAGGCCTTCTGTTGACTCTCTGAATTACTTATTTTGTGTAATATTGTAGTAGTAATCTAAACATGTCAAGTGTCTGGTGTATTGCAATAATTTCCTTGTTGCGGACTACATTGACAACTTAAATCATTTATATTACGACGTGTCTGACATTATCTATTTACAGTAATAATGCCCCACTGAGTAGTTGTGTGCATTGTCTAAGTACACCTAGAAGGTTGTCCAAATGTACAAACGGCTTTTGGATATTACAGATACCTTGCGCTCGTCTGAATTTGTTCGTTTTTAGCGTTTGTTGGTCATTCATATACACGCATATGAGGAATGGTCTGAAACGCATGTAATGTTATGGCCCTTGGAGAATGTGACAGGGGGTCTCTGCAATGGACATTCATGACAACAGCTGTAAAATATGACTGCATGTTTTACACCTAAACCCAAACAGACTTCTATACAAGTGGTATAAAATAGACGGTGCACGGGATGATAGTGGCCCAAACAATATAAACAAAATTCCATTTATTTTTGGATTTGGGCTTATATGGGCGTTTATATTTATATTCAAAGACTTTTAAAAACCTACAACAAACGATGGTAGAGTTAAGAGCAATAACTCATATACTTACAAATAAGTCAAATCTCCCTTGAATATCGCAAGTTATTTACGTCTCAAAGCTTGTTCACTTTGCGGACTGCTATCATGTAAAATAACTTATTAAATCCACATCTATTATTTGCTTTCAATAATTATTACATCTCTATGTCTGTACCTGTTATTTGTATGTATTAACCCTAGTATATTGTGAAGTTAAACATTACCATAAATGTTAATGTAGTTTTGATTCTGATTCTAATAATGTCATTCTTCAATTATCAAAGTTTCACTCACTGGAGAATGCGCGTATGAAGCCATGCCCCAACCCTAAGTCATGACCATCACATGGAAGGTAACAGAGAAATATTCTGGAGTGGACATATCAGCGTGTCGAGGAGGTATATCAACACAAACTGGACCCAACGAAGTAAATATACACATGGAACAAAAATTTCGCAACAGGCCCTATTATCCATAGTATCAACATGTTACCATAGGAAAGGAACTTATCCACACAATAACTTAACTTCCTGTCTGGATAAAGTGACCACATGATGCTCGCCTTTCATCGTGGCACGTGCGTATCTGAAATCAATGTACAGTGCGATCGAAGGGTTACAATAATCATACAACAAACATAATTATTACTCACCCGTTGAAGATATATATCACTGTTTAATAATTGATGTCGTACGTATGACGCCAAAGTGGTTTACAGTTATGACGCCACAATGCTATGGCCCTTGGAGAATGTGACAGGGGGGCAATTGCAGATACCCCCCTGTCACTATAGTATTAGACCTTGCTTGACTCGCGGAAAGCTGAGAGTCATCACACTCGTTGAGATTCTTAAGAAAAGGGTACTTTGCTCGATATTATTTTGCTAATGTTGGGTGAGTAATAAATAGAATACTAAACTATGTCCCGTGCAATACCATATTTATGAAACTCGTGAATGTGGTTTACAGTTATGATGCCACAATGCTATGGCCCTTGGAGAATGTGACAGGGGGGCAATTGCAGAGATCCCCCTGTCAGCTCGTTAGATACCAATACCATTCACGAGTTTAGTATTCTCTATTTATTATATGCACATATATGGCTATATGGGGCTGAAAGTTAAAGGTGTTGAGTAGTAGAAGTAATGGGGGTATGAGATCACTTTCAAGAAAGGTCGCTGTAAAGCTTTATTTCATTAATAAAGCTTTGTCAGGCCCTTAGATCTCGCCCCAATCGTGTCTACTACTTTTGAATCTCCAGTTCACTTCCCGACCCCACGTGATCACGTGATAGCTCTATGCCGCGTTGACCTCAATGAAACAGTTTAATGTGAATCGCCTATGATCTCTTTGGTGTTCGTAATAAAGGCTTGCTGGGCTTTTCGTACCCCCTGTTCTATGTACTTTTTTTTTCTCGTCCTCGCTGATAGCAGACTTACGAGACTTGGACCGGATTTCTTGTTTCATCTTATGGTACTTGTCGAGTTCAGAGAGGATTGAGCGAAACTCCTCCTCCGAGATCTTACTGTCAGTGAGTGCTGCTGAAATACGCTCACTTACCGTGTTCAGCTTTGCTTCGGCCAGAACCCTGATCTCGTCGTGTTTCAATGCCTTGCGATGCAGTCTGCGTGATGCAAACTTAAACACCAACCCTGCCACCCCTACCACCCCAGCTGTTATTTCGATACCTAGGACTATAGCTGCGGCCACTATGGTGGCTAACAACCCAACACCTGCCGCCCCTAGTCCCATGCTGGCTGCCATAAGGGCAGTATCAGTCCCGTCCACGATATTGAAAGCTCTATGGTACTTCTTATATAGTGCTTTCCGAGTGTCACGGTCTTGTTTTAGTTGGCGTTTTACATCACATAACTGTCTCAAGCGGAACCCGTCTACGGTTTCCAGGGTCTTCGCGACTTCCTCTACGACTGGGTTTAGCGCCATCCTGTGTGCATATAATATATCTTATGAGATATTTTCTAATTGGGCTTTTTTTAATAGTCGGTCAACGTACTTGAGGCTTATAAGTTTTAGATTCGGGTGTAGGAAGATACGGGAAAGGTCAATAGGTAACTTTTGGTCTATACTAACCCCCGACAGGTCTATCGAGGGGGGCTGTAATCTCAGTGGGTATTTCCCCAATTGTATGACGATACGGCAACGTATGGGGCCTAATACGGTGTCATCCCAATGTACTGTCACCCCAGGAAAAAGGCGCAGGCCTGAATCCTTAATAACGCCCCTAAGCATGACTTCTATGATGAGTGTGGAGCCTGGGGCCATAACTAATTCGATATCGGGGGGCGGTGGGGTAGCCTAGTGGTTAAAGCGTTGACTCGTCACGCCGAAGACCCGGGTTCAATTCCCCACATGGGCACAATGTGTTAAGCCCATTTCTGGTGTCCCCCGCCGTGATATTGCTGGAATATTGCTAAAAGCGGCGTAAAACTAAACTCAGTCAGTCAGTCAGCGGTATCGGACCTTAACTCTGACTCCACGGATGAAATTAACAGGTTGCCCGGGTGGTGGTGTATTGGGAAAACTAGCACCTCTCCATAACTCAGTATGAAAGACTTGAGGGTGAAGCCGGTGTTCTTAATTTCGGTGACATGGCTATGTTCGTTTAAAGAGATGTAAGGTGAGGTGAGGATTATGCTGATCAGCCATTTGGGTTCTTTAAAGGATGCCAGAGGCTGCCGTAGATACATGCCGTCTCTTAATAGCAGGACGTACAAGGCGTCTCCCTTGCCGGGCAGATCGAATCCCTTCGTGTCTCCTAGATCGTTAAGTGTGACGTTGGGGCGATCGACTATTGCTGCCCTACACGTTGTCTTTCAAGCGTAGGGCATACAAGGCGTTTTCCTCGCCGGGCAGATCGAATCCGTCCGTGTCTCCTAGATCGTTAAGTGTAGCGTTGGGTCGAGGACGATTGGCCATTGCTATAATACTATTATGATATAGTTTCCAATTGTTTTTCTGATAATAGTTCAGGGGTG